AAAAAAAAAAAAGACCTTGTCTCTAAAAAATAGCCAGGTGTTGTGGCAGGCACCTGTAGTCTCAGTAACTTGGGAGGATGAGGCAAGAGGATTGCTTGAGCCATATGGTTTAAGGTTACTGTGAACTATGACGCCCTGGCACTGTACGAGGATGACAAAGTGAGACTGTCTCAAAAAAAAAAAAAATTCTTCTCTGAACCTCAGTGTTCAGATCTGCAACATGGGATTAATGGTACTTTTCATTGGGAGATTATGATGAGGTTTAAGTAAGGTATCATTCATCTGGCATGTATTTCTCAATTGATGTTAGTTGCCTGTGCTTTATTCTGTACTCCCATTGATGGTATCTGGAATCCTTTTGTTGAGACAGAGTCTCACTTGGTCTCCCTCAGTAGAGTGCCATGGCATTATCATAGCTCACAGCAACCTCAAACTCTTGGGGTCAAGCAATTCTTTTGGGGAGAATTGGGCTACAGGCACCTGCTTAATGCCTGGCTATTTAGAGACAGGGTCTTGCTCTTGTTCAGACTGATCTAGAACTGAGCTCAGGCAATCCTCCTGTCTCGGCCTCCCAGAGTGCTAGGATTATAGGTGTGAGCAGTGCACCTAGCTTGGAATCTCTTTAGAGCAGTTTTATTTTCTGTTTATATTAATAATTGTGGAAATGTCTTCTTCCTTTTTGTGAGAGGAGAAGACTGGGAGGCTCTTTGAGGATGAGAAGAGTCTTTGAATCATGTCTGTATCATTGTATGATTTTTAATTTATTTAACAAAAATTTGGTATTTTTCCATGGGTTAGGGATGAGGCTGTGTGAGTATGTGACTTTAAAGAGGTAGCAGGTGGGAATGGGGTATCCAGTTTTGGTTGGTTATGGTGGCTCGAGCCTATAATCTTAGCACTCTGGACGCTGAGGTGGCTGGATTGCTTGAGATCAGAAGTTCAAGACCAACCTGAGCAAGAGTGAGACCCCATCTTTTATTAAAAATAGAAAAACTAGGCTGGCCTTGTGGTGGTCACTTATAGTCCCAGCTACTCAGGAGGCTAAGGCAGGAGGATCACTTGAGCCAGGAGTTTGAGGTTGCTGTGAGCTATGATGATGCCACAGCACTCTACCCAGACTTTGTCTCACCAAAAAAAAAAAAAAAAAAAAAAGGTAGTAGGAGATCTTTGTAGTGATGAAGTAGTTTCATATAATTGTGATGATGGTTATAGGAATCTACATAAATGGCTTAGAATTATATATACGGGCCAGGTGTGGTGGCTCACAATTCTAGCACTCTGGGAGATCGAGGCGGGCTGATCCCTTGAGCTCAGGAGTTTTGAGACCAGCCTGAGCTAGAATGAGACCCTGTCTCTACTAAAAATGAAAAACTCAGGGAAGAGGATCACTTGAGCCCAAGAGTTTGAGGTTCTTGTGAGCTATGAAGCCATGGCACTCTACTAAGAGCAAAAAAGTGAAGACTATCTCAAAAAACAAAAGAAAACAAAAGATCTATATATATATTCTACTAATATCAATTTCCTGATTTAGATATTGTACTATTGTTTTATAAAATGTAAACATCGGAGGAAACTGGTTTAGGAGATCTCTTGGTACTACTGCAATATCTTTTGATTCTATTCTTATTTATTTGTTATTTATTTATTTATTTATTTTGAGACAGAGTCTCAGGCTATTTTGAGCAGAAGGTAAAAGAAAATTTGGAAAAATTGGTTGGAGTCATGTAGTAAAGCAGTCTTGTATAACAGGCTGGAGAGTTAGAACCTTCTTTCGGAGGTGGGTGGAGCCACTGAAGGCTTTTGAACTGAGGAAAAGATAGAAAATTTGATCCTATAGTGGAAGATCTGCAATATCGATTGGAGTGAATGTATTTTGGGGGGGGGGTCACAAAGTTTTAGAATAAAAAGGAAAAAGACCTTTTTATTATTTCCTCCTTCCTGTCTTCTCCTCCCTGCAGGGGACGTGGTCCTATCTGGCTGTAGCACACTGAGTCTGCTGACTACCACACTGCAGCAGCTGAACCATGTATTTGAGCTGCACCTGGGGCCATGGGGCCCTGGCCAGACAGGCTTTGTGGCTCTGCCTTCCCACCCTGCTGACTCCCCCATCATCCTCCAGCTTCAGTTCCTCTTTGATGTGCTGCAGAAAACACTTTCGCTGAAGGTTCTGGGAGGTGGCATGGGGCAGGATGTTCAAAGGGCCCAGGAAAGTGATGGAGGCTGCGGTGGGGTAGGGGTACAAAAAGTCTGCAGGGCCAAGATCAAGAATGTGTCAGAGATATGGGTGGTTATACTAAAGAAAGGGTGCTGAGGAAAGGGAGATCTGCCATGCTTAATAACTGGAGTGTTTTTCTTTTAGCTGGTCCATGTCCCTGGTCATGGTCTATCAGGGCCCATCAAGATTTTTCCCTTCAAGTCTCTTCGGCAGCTGGAGGTATCGGGGTGCTGGGAGATGTTGGCGCATAATCCCCAACTTGAGGCAGCCACTTAGGAATGGGGAAGAGAGGTGGCCTCTTTTGGTGGGGAGATCAGGACTGAGTATACCCACTGCTCTGCAGTAATGTGGTATCCAGTCCCGTCCATTTAACACTTCTTGAACCATAGCTGGGTTCTGTCGTCTTCTCCTTCTTCCCCACCAGGGGAAGTGGGGATGAGGTCTTTGTCTTTTGTGAAGTTCTATCTTCCTCTGTCCCTCCATTTCCTTTGCCTAGCTCCGAGGTGTCCCTCTCCACTGCCTGCATGGCCTCCGAAGCATCTATTCCCAGCTGGAGACCCTGATTTGTAGCAGGAGCATCCAGGCATTAGAGGTAAGGAGGTTGATGGGTGGGCTTGGATGCCTTGTCCTGATAGACATAGAGGACCAAGCTCTGATTTTCTCCTTTCTTCTCAGACTTCCCCCCTCCTGCTTCCCTTTAGGCAGTGTCCTTGCTTGCTTCCCTGTGCTCCCACAGCACTCTATACCTATCGGTATATTTATAGTCATACCTACCGTATCATGTTAAATATCCTAGTGTCTGCCTCCCCGCTCTCCCCATAATGAGTTCCTTGGAGACAGAGACTTCGGTTTTCTTTTAAGTCTGCATCTCCAGATGGAACCCAGTGTACAAAGAATGAATGAATGAATGAGTGTTAGAGTATGACCTTGGCATGGGCAGGATGTTGAGAGTGGAGTAATGAAGCACCCATCTGCTCTCTCAGGAGCTCCTCTCAGCCTGCGGTGGTGACCTCTGCTCTGCCCTCCCCTGGTTGGCTCTGCTTTCTGCTGACTTCAGCTACAACACACTAACCACCTTAGATAGCTCTCTGGTGAGTGTCTTAGTGGGAATAAAGTTCTGAGGATGGGCGAGGATGGGACTGTAGGGAGGAGAGCCAGCTGGTTGACAAAGTGTCCTTGTAGCAAAGACTAACTCTCTGCCTCCTCCTCCTGTTCCTCTCAGCGCCTCTTGTCATCTTTGCGCTTCCTGAACCTGAGCCACAATCAAGTGCACAACTGCGAGGGCTTCCTGATGGTGAGTGTAAGCACCTAGCTTGAGCCTTTGAATGCTCTGCACCCACCCTTTCTTCTGGACTTGCTTTTTTCTCCTCCCTTGCTGGGTGGAGTCATAACCTGAAATGTGGCACTGTTTAGGACTCAGGCTCTAGCATAAGACAAACCAGAATTCAGATCTCAACTTCTGATACTTCTATGACTTGGACCAAATTAGTTAACCTCTTTGTTTCTTTACTTGTAAAATAGAAATCATAGGAGTCCTGCTTTTATAGTATGAAAGTGATTATGAAAGTTTCCAGTGTTACTTAACCTAGTGCCTAGTTAAAAAACTGGTAGCTTTTGTGATGCTGAGGAACCTTTGTCCCGTGTCCCTGTGTGAAAGACAGGCAAAGCCAGACACTAATTAAATTAAGTACAGATTTTAATTAGTAATAAACTATTACAGTAGAGAAGAGGGTCCAACATGAGCTGAACTGTACTTTGATTTGTGCAAAGGTGACTGGACATTTTAAAGAGAGAATGAGGGAGTAGGCAGCGGAATGGTGGGGGCTTGAGCTGAGTTAGGGAAGTGGAAATTTACTAAAAGGAGAAGTGGAGGTTGGTCCATGTCAAACTCATGTGGGATCAAGTACTAAGTGGCACTTATCAAAGTTAGGCCCCTGCTCTCCCACAGAGACTGGGAGATGGGCTGAATCTTCAGGTGTTGGCTGGAATAAACAATAAATTCCTTTGAGGAGTGTGAGTTTTCCCAGGCAAGAAATTAAGGGGGCTTGAGTTACCGTTCTAGGGATATGGCCTTGAGCTTTGAAATATGCTAGTATTTGCTCAAGACTTTTAATGTGAGACTAGGGATATATATGGATAAATCATTTGTGCTGACAGTGTAGTTTTTTTCTTTTGAGATAGTCTCACTATGTTGCTCTCAGTAGAGTGCTATGGCGTCACAGCTCACAGCAACCTCCAATTCCTGGGCTTAAGCTATTCTCTTGCCTCAGCCTCCCATGTAGCTGGGACTACAGGTGCCCACCACAATGCCTGACTATTTTTTTGTTTCTTTTGTCATTGTTGTTTAGCAGGCCCTGGGCTGGATTTGAACCTACTAGCCCTGGTGCATGTGGCCAGCACCCTAACCGTTGAGCTGCTGGTGCCAAGCCTTTGTTTTGTTTTTTTTTGAAACAGAGTTTCACTCTGTTGCCCTGCCAGAGTGCTATGGTATCAGAGCTCATAGCAACTTCAAACTCCTTAGTTCCAGGAATCCTTTGCCTCGGCCTCCTGAGTAGCTGGGACTATAGGCACCCTCTATAATGTGTAGCTAGTTTTTTTCTATTGTTAGTAGAGATGGGGTCTCATTCTTGCTCGGGCTGGTTTTTGACCTTCTGATCTCAGGTGATCCACCCACTTCAGCCTCCCAGAGTGCTAGGATTACAGGTGTGAACCATTGCGCCTGACTGTGTAATTTTTATAGGCCAAGGTTGAGGCCTTGTTCTGAAGAGTTTGGTCAAGGAGAGAATCTTTGTCCTCCCTGCCAGGATTTGTGTGAGCTCTGCCATCTGGACATCTCCTATAACCGCCTACATTTGGTGCCGAGAATGGGACCTGCAGGGGCTGCTCTGGGGGTCCTGATACTGCGAGGCAATGAGCTTCAGAGCTTACATGGTGAGTCAAGACTTATGCTGTGGCAGACATGGTTGGGGGAAGTATAAGATGAGGGTGATCATGCCTCTAGAGCAGTGTTTTTCAACCTTTTTATCTCACAGTACATTCTGGCACACATAAATTATGTTTAAAAAAGCACTTACTGTGCTTTGAACTTCTTCGAAAAATAATTTAATTAATGATCTTTAAAATTTTCGTGGCATACCAAAAGATCCTCTCATGGCACACCAGTGAGCCGCAGCACACCCGTCAAAAATCACTGCTCCTAGAGTCTCATGAGGGCTTATAGGTAGGGCCGAGGTCCTCCTGTCTGTCCTTCTGCCATACCCTCTGCCAGCACACATACCATCACACTTACCCATGCTCACAAGTACTCACCTGCACATTCTTCTATTCTCACCTAGGCCTGGAGCAGCTGAGGAGCCTTCGGCACCTGGATGTGGCATACAACCTGCTGGAAGGACACAGGGAGCTGTCACCATTGTGGCTGTTGGCAGAGCTCCGCAAGGTGAGACGTGGGTGCTTCAAGGGCCTGAGAACCATCACTGTGCTGGCCATGTGGTGGCCATCCTGTGCTGATTTGGTCAGTGTTTTGTTCACACTGGAAGGAGCTGAGGGCCACTTTATTCTCCTCTTTCTGCCCCTTAGCTCTACCTGGAGGGTAACCCTTTGTGGTTCCACCCTGCACACCGAGCTACCACTGCCCAGTACTTGTCACCCCTTGCCAGGGATGCTGCTTCTGGCGTGAGTGATCATTCCATGTCTACTCTGTTTCCCTTTCCTGCCCGGTGCTAGTCTCCCCACACCCTCTCGCCATCCCTAAGTAAGAGATCAAGGATCTAGATCCCTTGAACTCACCAGAATGGTCCCAGCCAGGAACATTCCCTTTTCCCGTTTTGTCTTTGCTTAGTTCCTTCTTGATGGTGAAATCTTGTCGCTGACAGATTCTCAGGTCAGTGTGGTGATGGAGGGCAGAGAGTGGGAAGATGAGAAGGGAGGGAGGAGGGGAATCTGAAGGGTAGCTGGTAGAAGGGTCTTCTTGGTCAGTGGAAAGTGAAGTCCTGCCTCCTGGCTAGCTTGGGTAGGGCAGAGGCGCTCCCCTGCCTCTGACCTCTTTTTGCTTCCTTTTGTCACATGCCAGACCCCCTCATCCTTGGCTTTTGGCCATATGGCCCCACCTGTGTCTTGGCCAGTGGGGAGTACCACTGAAACTTCTGGTGGCCCTGACCTAAGTGATAGCCCTTCCTCAGGGGGTGCTGTGGTCCAGCCCCTGCTTCCTAAGGTTAAGGTAAGTGGAGTCCTTAGCTGCCTTATGCCTGGGATTAGGTGTCATTATGTGGTCTCTGGGTTGTTGGCTGGCTAGGAACATACGCGAGTATGGCTTTAACGTTTGCTTGTAGTCTCGGTTTTTTCCTGGTAGGTGGGTGACCATGGATGGCAGGGTAGCCATGGATGGCAGGCCAGGAGGCCCTGGCTTTCGTAGAACTTTATTTCTCCACCCAACCTCAGAGCCGAGTCCGTGTGAGGCGGGCAAGCATCTCTGAACCCAGTGATACAGACCCAGAGCCCCGAACTCTGAACCCCTCCCCAGCTGGTAAGTTAGCCTCACTCCACCCATCCATGTCCCCATCCAGCCCTCTCTAATCTTTACCTTACTGTGAGGATCTGGTAGGAGAAGTTTGATTTTTTGGTGGGGTGGGGCATTGTGGAGGGTCTCTTAGTCTCTTCCTTTCCTTTTTGTTTAGAGGAAGGAGAAGATACTGCTTCTAGGCACTAATTGCTAAAGTTTTTCAAGGAACATTAATCTTTTGGGGTGTCAAAAGGTCATGTAATAAAAAGCCTATGGCCAGAAAAGTTTGGGAAGTGCTAGGTTAAACAGAGTTAAATAGGTGTCTTCCCTGCAGGCCATCCCAGGACCTTCAGGGTGCTGCCCTGCATTGCCAGTCTTCAGAAGTAGCATGTGCAGTACAGTTCTGGATTGCATGTGACCACAGTTTCCATAGAACACACTTGGGACGTGGTGCCAAGGGGATGACTGTAGCCTCTCTCAGGTCCTCCCCTTCTCCCCTGTACATACGTCATTGCTGTACACCGGGGAGCATTTGTAGAAGAGGCTGGACCATTTGGAGGGTTGCGGGCTTGCTCAGCTCTGTGCCTCCCTCCCTGCCCAGGACGGTTTGTGCAGCAACATCGGGAACTTGAGCTCATGAACAGCTTTCGGGAGCGATTTGGCTGTGATTGGCTGCAGTATAGGAGCCAATTGGAGACCTCTGGGAGCCCCCCTCCAGCTACCTCCAAGCTGCCTCCAGACTCCCTGGGCCCAAGCACTCCACTCAGCCTTTCATCCCCAGAAGAAGAAGCCAGAGGCCCTGAGGAGTTACCACAGAAAATGTCAGGAGAGGTCAAGGTAGAGCTGGAGCCACAGGAGGAAGAAGAGCTAGAGGTACCAGAGAGAGAAGAAGGAAGAAAGGAGCAACAGGAGGTGGACGAGGAGCAGGAACAGAAGGAAGTGGAAGGTGAGCATGCTGCAGACGTGGGTGAGCTGGGGCCAAGTGCTGCTGGAATATCTGGGTAAGTGAGGGAGGCCCAGACCAGACCTGGGGGTGGGGCTGACCCCCTTTTGACAGAGGACTGGGGACAGAGCCTGGGTGCTTTTCCTTCCTTACAGGGCTCTTCTCTGTTTCTCCACAGCAGAGCTCTGTCGCCCCATGTTGGTGTGTCCCTTAGAGGGGCCTGGGAATGTTCGGGGCATGGAATGCTTTCTCCGGGTCACTTCTGCCCACTTGTTTGAGGTGGAACTCCAAGCAGCTCGGACCCTGGAACGGCTCGAGCTCCAGAGTCTGGTGGCAGCTGAGATAGAGCCTGAGACCCAAACCCAGAGAGGACCAGTGCCCGAGGTAAGTGTGAATGTGGGGGGTTCTGGAAGAGGTGCTAGGTTTTTATAGGAGCTAGCTCTGAGGACATGGCTGTTGTGTGCCAGACACTGGGCTTGGAATTACCCACAGTCTCTCATTGGCACTTGGAGCCAAGGAGGAGACCCTTAGGGGGCCGAGTGAGGTTGCATGTGGCTTGAGAGGCTGGGCGAGGTGGCGATCCCTTGCTGGAGTTGGATGTCAGCACAAGCATTTGAGTGGGGTGCAGAGCTGTTAGTGTAACTCTGATTCCTCTGTCCTCCCTTCCTCTCACTGCTGTTTTTCACCCAGTTCCCCTCTTTGTACACAGGGCTCAGATCTGCTTCCTGGGGCCCCTGTCCTCGTTCTGCGCTTCTCCTACATTTGCCCTGACCGGCAGTTGCGTCGCTATGTGGTGTTGGAGCCTGATGCCCATGCAGCTGTCCAGGTGATGAGGCCTAGAGCGGGGACCCAGGAGACTGGGGGTTGGGGGAAGATTGGGAGAGCTCTGGGCCTAAGGGTGGGGGGTAGTATCTGTCTGGGGTCTGTCCATTTACAGCTGCTTCTGACCCACCCTCTATCAGGAGCTGCTTGCTGTATTGGTCCCAGTCACTGCCATGGCTCCACATCAGCTTGGGGAAGCCAGAGACCTACAGGAGGGCAGATTCCAGTGTCTACGCTGTGGCCACACGTTCAAGCCAGAGGAGCCCAGCCTGGGGTTGGACAGTGAGGATGGCTGGAGGCCTCTGTTCCAAAAGACAGGTATAGGGCCCAGTGCAGAGGCTCATACCTAGTGCTCTGGGAGGCCAAGGTGGGTGGATTGCTTGAGCTCATGAGTCTGAGAGCAGCCTGAGCCAGAGCAAGACCTACTCTCTTAAAAAAAAATAAAATAAAATAGCTGGGTGGGTGCCTGTAGTTCCAGGTACTTGGAAGGTTAGGGCAGGAGAATCGCTTAACCCCAGGAGTTTGAGGTTGCTCTGAGCTGTGATGCCATTGCATTCTACCAAGGGTCACAAAGTGAGACCATGTTTGAAAAAAAAAAAAAAAGAAAGACAGGTATAGGCCATGACCTTGGCCTCCCTGCCCACAGGCCTCTCCCATTGCAGGGAAAGTGGCTTTGATTGGGGGAATGTAGAGAGGGAACCCCTGGGAGAAAGGACTAGGGCTGTGAGGACTAACTGTTTTGTCTGGAGGAAAAATAAAACCGCTTCTGCCTACTACATTTACAAAAAGGAAAATCTAAAATTATAAAAAGGAAAATCTAAAAAAAAAAGAAAGAAAAAAGAAAAAGAAACAATATCCTGATTTCTTTTTTTTTTTCCTCTGGGAAAGTCAGGAAATACAATCTCTGTAACTGTGCTTAAATGTACTCATTATATTTTTATAACTTGAAAGCTTTTTGTGTGGACCTTTTTTTTTTTTTGGCTAATACTTTAGAAACTGCATAAAGCCTAAGTCTTCCCTGCAGTATCATGTGGTGGTATTGCCTCTCTGAGCATGTTTAGCTGTTGAGTAAGACACTTTGGGAGTTGGCTTAGTTTGTCCTTCCCTGTCTGACCTTGTGAGCTGCTTGATATTAAATAGTGCCATCTCTTCATATTCTGTTCTTTAAAACAAGAGATTTTTCCATTGTAGACCAGTCAAAAAACAGCATCTTTGAAGAAGACGCTAAAGAGAAAAGAGGTATTCTTGATAATAGCCGTGTGGAAATGCATGATTTTTATTAGCACTTTTCTCTTGACAGCAGCTGGAGCAGGGGTTTGAATTGTATTCAGAAAATGGAACCTTGCTCCCTTCCCCTCCCTGAACCCACCCAGGTGGCTCCAGGCCTAGGGTACAACATTGGCAACAGAAGCAGCTCCCAACGCCTTAGGCCCTGGCTATGCTTGGTCCTTTGGCCTCTGGGGTCCTGTCTATGGTGGTATTATTATTGTTATTATTATTTTATTTTGAGACAGAGCCTCACTTTGCCACCCTTGGTAGAGTGTCATGGCATCATAGCTCACAGCAATCTCAAAGTCTTGGACTCAAGCGATCTTCTTGCCTCAGTCCCAAGTATTGGGACTACAGGCTCCGGCCACAGAGCCCAGCTATTTTTAGAGATGAGGTCTCACTCTTGCTCAGGCTTGTCTCAAAATCTTGAGCTCAGGCAATTCACCTGTCTCAGCCTCCCAGAGTGCTAGGATTATAGGCATGAGCCACCTTGCCCAGCCCTTATGGTGGCATTATTAATGAACATTACTATGTACTAGATTTATTTGTGCCTTGGTTGCCTCATCTGAACAAAGAGGAGTATGAACTCACCTAAGAGTGCTGTTATATGAGATTTAAATGTGACAGCAAGGCAGCAAGCATACTGCCTGGCACAAGACAAAGGTCCCCTGGAGCTGCTGTTGTTACCCTCAGCTGCAGGGTCTTGGGCAGGGTATAGAAATTATTTAATCTATTCTTTTCCACATTTGCAAAATGGGATAGGGAGAGTTTTGAGGAGGGTAAAATGTGATCATGCTGGTACAGGATCTAGCACGTGCCCAGCTGACGCATGTCCTGGATTCTCTGCCTGTTTCTATTCAGTCATTCTGACACTAAGGATGAGGAAGATGGACATTATTATTATTCCTGTTTTACAGATGAGGATTCAGGCTCTGTGAATTGCCCATGGTGCCAGAGTTCTCTCTGTCTTTCCCAGCTTGTTGATTTTATTTTTATTTTTTCAGACATTGCTAGGACAGCATAAAATACTTGACCAGCCCAAGTTTGGGGCCTGGGGAGACCAGAGCAGGGCTTAGTTGTGTTTGGCCTAATCTGAAAAGGCCTAAAATTAGAAAGTAGGGTACATTTTGAGGAGGTGTGGGCCATAGGTTAGCTTGTCTCTGGGCTGGAGAGTGATGAGTCAGCAACTGTACTTGGAGTGGGGAGCTGAGTTGGGGTACAGTGGTTGTGTATGAAGCTGGACATGTGGGCCCAGGGGAGACCTGAGAGTGTGTGGGTTGTATCACGATCATGAGTATGGTTGGGGGTTCTGGGTTAGGCTCATGGAGACTATGTCCATCCCTCCCTCCAGACTCTCCTACTGTGTGTCCAAACTGTGGTAGTGACCATGTAGTTCTTCTGGCTCAGTCTGAGGGAACCCCCAATAGGGAGCAGAAACAGGAAGAGCAAGCACCAGTTCCCTCTCAGTCTGCTAGCCCTGGCTGTGACCCTTCTGGCTTCAGTGACCACAACAGAGCTGAGAACATTCTACCTCAGGCATCCATCTCCTGTGACCACAATAGTTGGAGCCTCAGTCCCTGTGAGTACTGGCAAAACAGGACAGGGTGGGTTTTGGGGAAGGAAGGGGCACTGATGGGGTGGTGGAGATGGAGCCTGGGGACTGCTGGGGCAGGCTGATGTTCACTGGTTGCTCTCAGCCACTGAGCGCCATGGCCTCCGCTCCGTGGACCACCGACTCCGGCTCTTCCTGGATGTTGAGGTATTCAGCGATGCCCAGGAGGAGTTCCAGTGCTGTTTCAAGGTGTGTGCTGCTGTGTCAGGTCTGTGCTGCCTGGCACTGACATGGTGCCTGCTATTTCCTGCACAGCCAATTGGGTCAGATCAGGCACTCCACAGCCACCAGATCTGGCTTCTGGTTTCAACTCCAGCAGTTACCTGTTGTGTAACTGTGGACATGGTCCTTGATATTTGAGTCTCAGTTGTCACCCCTCTACCCCTCTACAATGGAGATAATGATGCCTCCCTTGCAGAGTGGTGTGGCATCAGAGCTGATGTCTTGGGCTGCCCAGCACAGTGCCTGGTACTCAGTAGCCAGGGGCCTCCTGGAGGTACTGCAGATGCACAGTGTGATCTGACCTTTGCTGAGCACATGTTGTATGGTAGACATGAGGGTTCACGGTCAGTCAGTCTTGCCCTCAGTCTTACAGTGTGGTGTGAGGAACTGACAACAGTTATACAGTATGTGAGTCTGCCATCAGTCTAGGTAAGGTCCTAGAAGGGAGTGTAATCTAGCCCCATGGGTAAGGGAACCTTGCTGGGAGGTGATATCTAAGCCAAGTCTTGAAGGATGAGTTAAGGAGTAGGGAGGAAAAGAATGTTGTGGGTAAAGGAAGTAGCAAATGCGTGGAGGCCCAAGAGTGTTGCCAGTTGGGAGAACTGTCCAGGATAAGAAGAGCCAGGATGTGTGGGGTAAAGTCTCATGTCCCAAGAGGGTCCGAGAGGGAGGCAGAGGCCAGTTTGGGAGCAGCCTCTTGTGTCTGCCAAGGAGTTTGGATTGGTCCTGAGGGCCACTGGGAAGCCCTGAAGGATTTTAAGCAGGGGAGTGATGGATCAATTTTGTGTTTCAGAACAGTCAGTCTGGCAGGTTGGATGTTGGGTTGGAGGGGTGAGGTGACTGGCAGGGGAGCCAGCTGAGAGAATGCTGAGGCCCTGAGGGGCAGGGCCTGTGGGGGAGGGGAGGAGTTCAGTGGTGGGTAGAGAGGTGGGTTTGGGCTGCATCAAACCTCAGCAAACTGATAGATGGGTGGGGAGGGTCAGGTTGAGAGTGTGAGAGTGCTGTCTCAGGCTTGGCTTTCAGCCTGGTATCACCTCCCTGGACTTTTTTCCTGGTCTTACACCAACTTTCTCTTCCCATCAGGTGCCAGTGGTATTGGCAGGCCACCCTGAGGAATTTATGTGCCTTGTGGTCGTGTCTGACCACAGGCTTTATCTGTTGAAAGTGACAGGCGAGATCCAGTGAGTGAGCTGGGGCATGGCTGGGGCAGGGGTAGGGCCCTTGTCTTTTCATTCCACCCACACTCTTTTCTACCAATCTGTCTCCTCTCTCCATAGTGAGCCTCTGGCTAGCTGGCTCCAGCTGACCCTGGCCATTCCCCTGCAGGATCTGAGTAGCATAGAGCTGGGCCTGGCAGGACAGAGCTTGCGGCTGGAGTGGGCAGCTGGGGCAGGCAGCTTTGTGCTGCTGCCCCGAGATGCCAGGCGTTGCCGGGCCTTCCTAGAGGAGCTCATTGGTGAGAGAGGAAAGGCAGAGACAGAAGAGTGGGGTGGGTCCCTGGGGGCTGAGCTCACCCAACTCTGGTGCCCAACAGTAGAGATAGAGGTAGTAGACCTTTCCCTTAGAAATCTAGTAGTGTTGGGGAATAGGAAGAAGTGGAGAGGTGGAGAGGTGGGATAGGGGAGAGAGAGCCTTCTGAGGCTTCTCTGTCCCTGCTGGGTGTGTCCAGATGTCTTACAGTCTCTGCCTCCCACTTGGAAGAACTGTGTCAGTGCCACAGAGGAGGCAGTGACCCCGCAGCACCGGCTCTGGTGAGTCCATAGGAGTCCAGGCTGGGGCCTGGTCCTAGGCTCTCCCTCCACAGAGCTGTAGACACTGCCTTGTGGTGAGGCCACCCTGGGCCTGCCATCTGTCCTCATGCCCATACCCTACACCCTAGGTCCTTGTGTCTCTTCCAACCCACTTGTGCTGCTCTCTTGCTACTCCCTTCCCTCGAAGTGCCTCCCATGCCCTTGCTGATCTTCCTGTGTCTGCCTGTTTCCCCTGCCAGGCCATTGCTGGAAAAAGACTCATCTTTGGAGGTTCCTCAGTTCTTTTACCTTCGGGTGTTCCTGGTTGAAGGTTAGGCCTTTGCTGCAGATGAAGCCCTGGTCTCTGTACCCCATCTTGTCCCAGATTATTGCCTGATCCCCTAGCACCTCTGCAGTGCCTATATAGCAGTCGTCAACTCCTGGAATCTGGGCTACCTCTCACTTGGGGGAGTAGGGGTTAGCCCCTGTGTTCCCTGCCTTTCTGGGTGGAGTCAGGAGATGCCCTGGATCTTCAGTTGCCCAGAGACCTGTGCTTTTGAATCCAAGCTTTCTCTGAGGTGGAACTGGGTCTGTCCCACCAGTCTTGTCAGAGGAAGCAAGGGTGTGTCCTTGTTTCTGAGTGGAGTGTGTAGTGGTTCCCTCCGTCTTGGGCCTGAGAGATTTTGGAGGCTTGAGGTTGCTGGAATTTGGGGAAGGAAGGTTCTTGGCCCCAAGGACACAGGCTGCTTTTTGGCCCACCTCATTGTGGTTCAGCCTCTTCTCCCAAATAGAATTGGAATGCTGGGCCCCAGGGATCTGGGCCCCTCATGACCTTCCACTCAAGGTCTTACCCTGCTTCTTTCCCTTCAGGCCCTTCTACCTGTCCTGTGTCCCTGTTGCTGACTCTGTCTACCCTCTACCTGTTAGAGGAGGACCCTCCTGGGTCCCAGGCAGAGCCCCCTCTTCCAGCAGCTTCTGATGAAGCATTGGAGAAGGTTCTTCCTTTGAGGTCTGACCCTTCTGTATGTGTCCGGGAGCAGCAGCTACTCAGCAGCCTGAGCTCAGTGCAGCTCTATCGCATGGCCCCGGAGGACTTGCGGCTAGTCTTCTACGACGAGGTGTGTATGTGCGGCAGGGAGGGGATAGCAGTGTGGGATGAAGGTCTTGGGAGGCTAGGAATTTGGGTAGGGTGGAACTTAGGGGTGGGTAGTCATGGTGGAAGGAACGCAGAATTAAGGTTGAGGAAGGAGAGTTCTGGGTTTGGCTAAGCAGCAAGTGGAGAGGGCGGCAGATAGAGCAGGGGAAACACTGTGGACTTGGGGCCCTGCTGTAACGAGAGCCCTTTAGTGAGACTCCCAGGTGCTTTGAGTTGGTGGATTGGGCCCAGTGAGGTGCATGTTTTATTTTCACAACCACCATGTGAGGGAGTACTATTTATCATTGGTCCTGTTTTGCAAGTGAAGATGCTGAGGTTTAGAGGATATTTACCAGTTTTCCCAGACTATAAGTGGTAGAGCCAGAAACTGAACCTAGAACTTCTGTTCTGTTATAGCAGGGAAGATTAGACACATGTTAGTAAACTTGAAAGCTCCCTGGGAGGCTTTCAGTTAAGTGTTGATTGGATTCTGTTTTTAAAGCTCAGAGTCAGGTCTTTAATGGGGAGTGGCACAGGCTAGGAGAAGGGAACAAGCAAGGAGCTGAGGAGGATGGTGAGTCCTTCCTGGCGTCCTCCCTTTGCCTGCACTGGTGTGGCCTTGTGAACCTTGCCTTGCTAACTGCTTGGTCTGCTAGGTGTCTCGGCTAGAGAGCTTCTGGTCACTCCGAGTTGTGTGTCAGGAGCAGCTGACAGCACTGCTGGCTTGGATCCGGGAGCCCTGGGAGGAGTTGTTTTCCATTGGACTCCGGACTGTGACTCAAGAGGCTCTGGACCTTGACCGTTGAGGCTTCCATGTCGACCTTGACTCTGACCTTGGGAGCCATGCTGCAAGTGTTCCCTCTCTTGGTCTCTGGGTCTAGCTTTCAGCAGACTCTGGCTTTAGACTCCTTCAGCCTTTGGACACTGGCCAGGGAAGCCCCAGATGACCCATGGCTTAAGGGACAGGCGAGAGCAATGGTGTGGCCGCTTAGTGATCTGGCCTATGAGGACAAGCTAAGTGGTCAGGAGGAAATGTTTCTGTTGCACTTTTTCTCAGGTATTAATAAAGCTGTTTCTATTCCGGTTGTCATGGTTGGTACTTAGATGTTTCACTCCAGGTGTGCCATTCCTCTAACCTCTATCCATAGGGGCAGTAACAAGCAGCTTTGTACTGTGAGAACCCTCCTCTGGGCCCAGCTTGTGGAACAAGTAGGACTCCTGACCCATGAACACCCAGTCCTTAAGGTGGCAGTGACCTGGCATGGAAATACTGCTGTGCAAATAGCCAGGCCAGTTAGATTCTCACCCTCTTGAATCTGACCTGGGAAGTAGCAGGGCCCTCAGGCCACTACAGAGTGCAGAGGGCATCAGGACAGTGGGTGTGTGGAGCTGGGCTGTGGAGGAGAGTTGGCATGTGGTGCTTTCTGCTCTTCCTGTTTTTCACAGCATGGCCTTAGCCCAGAGGTGTGGGTCAACCCCCCACTCCCTTGCCTGTCCCCATGTCTGTAGCCAAGGCACTTGGTTCAGGAATGCTCATGGGACCTGGTTTGGCCTACTGATGCCTAGCCTTGGTCTTTGATATGAGGAATCAAGAAATAGGTAAGGTTCCTCCCCGTAGGTTGCTGAAAGGATAAGAGGAACTTCTGGCCATGAGGGAAGAGCTTTCCTGAATGTGGAGTTGTGAGAGAGAGGAAGACAGAGGCATGGTGGAGAGAGCAGGGCTCTCTTGGTCCAGTTGTGCCCGAATGCAGATACCCCTGCAATTTTAGGTTATGTGAGCTAAAGGAAGCCCCCTCCCACTTTGTTGGCTTCAGCTAATTTGAACCAAGGGTGAGCCACTGGAAGGGTCCTAACTGAGCAACCCTAACTCCAACTTAAGCCAGCCTGAGTGGGGGAGTCTGTTTCTTGCACAGTTAGAGTAATGACACCCATATATTTGTATAGAGAAGACCTATTCTTGGTGATGCAGCATGGACCTAGTCCTGTGTGATGCAGAATGATCAGCTCATTTTTTGTGTCAGGCAACCAGGCCTAAGGCCTTGAACAGAGTGTGGCCTGTTTGGTGGGACAGCCTGGCTGGGACCTTTCACCTGGAGAGGGTGTGGGCAGGGTCACCTTGGCCTGACCAGCTAGCTATATCTCTAAATCCTTGGAGTTAAAGTATTAAAAAATTAAAAGAGGTCATTTTAAAAGCTTTTATTTTTACATCTATTTAAAAAGTAACAAACATAAATGAACAAATGTCCTCTGTACCTAAGGATATATGGTAGATGGTGAGCTATTCTAATATCCCTGGCCCCTCATTCCCCTCTCTAGAGTCAAGCATTCTCACCCATTTTTCTGTTCAGAAATGTCAATGCATGTACACTCAAATGTACACATTTCCCCCAGAAAAGGGTAATTATTTAAGCCATTCAACTCCATAAAAACAGATTGATTTCTAATTTTAGTTTCTCTCTTCCAGGGCCCTGGTCCAGTCTGGTGAGAGAGTGGGGAGGGACTGGTGTGAGTCTTGGAATCCTCCAGGTGGGGGAAACGGTCTGGGGTAGTGGCCACTTGGTGACAGGCCTGCAGAAGAGCATTGCAGAAGCTCAGGAAATAAATTCACCTACTTCTGTTTTGCTCAGAGCTGCCCTAAATTTTTAATTGAAGCAAATTAAAACTTCCCAAAAATACTAGTCCACATTCTTGGTGATGTGTACATCTTCTTTCTGGTCAAGGATTTTGAACCCTCTGAGAACAAGAGCCAGTGCTGGGCCTGAGGAAGGCCTTCCTAGCCTCTGGCCAGAAGCAACATTCACTGCCAGGCCCATTTGTAAGCATTTCTCCAGGAGCTGGGTAAGTCCTGGTGCAGATGGGGCAGAATAATCTCCCCTCATTTATGGTGATTTGTGAAGAAGTGTGAGACCCGAGGGAGTTGAAAGAGGAGCTTTTGGGCAGTGCCTGTGGCTCAGTGAGAAGGGTGCAGGCCTCATATACCAAGGGTGGCGGGTTTGAACCTGGCCCCGGCCAAACAGCAACAAAAAGATAGCCAGGCATTGTGGCAGGCGCCTGTAGTCCCAGCTACTTGGGGAGGCTGAGAATCGCCTAAGCCCAAGAGCTGGAGGTTGCTGTGAGCTGTGATGCCATAGCACTCTACTGAGGGTGACAAAACAAGACTCTGTCTTAAAAAAAAGAAAGAGGAGCTGCTTTCATTTCTTCGTGTTTAACATTGTTTTCTTTAACCAAACAACAGCATCCTCTGCAGCCTTTATGCAGATGGAGTGCTGTGATGGAAGGTAAAGCCATCACTGCTTCCAGAGGCATCTGCCGTGTGAGCAGGTAGTTGGGACACTGAGTGAAGGTGACTGCTTTGCCACTGATGTTTACCACAGGTGTCAGTCAAGTACTCGCCTTACACACACTCTTAGTACTCCCAGAGATCGATTCCTCCATTCAGGCCGGCCTTTCCCCTCCAGCAAGTGCTTATTGATTACCTGGCCTCTGCCTGGCCTTGGGCTTGGTGCATGAAGGACATGCAGAGGCCATCCAGCTCCTGGAAAGCAGTAGAGAGAAAGGATTCTCTCACCTGAAACTACCTCACAGCACTGCTACATTGCAGAAAGAAAGTGGGAGGGTAGAATATAAATTCATGTTAGCTCATATTTGTATAAATAAATCCCAAGGGATAAACAGAAGAAGGTGGCGGAGGATGAAGGTGAGAACCAGGAGGAAGGATATAGGGGTGGTATTGAGGGATTTTTTTTTAACTCTTTATTTAAAAACATTAAAACTCTTCTGAATATATTATTGATTCAAGAATTATACCTAAAAATACACATGAGGCCCCATGGTGGTCAGTAGCCAAACTGAGTAGTAGAAACATTGGTGCTTAGGACTTCAGAGGGGAAGCAGCCCCTGTCAGTGGACTCTCTGTCTCAAAAGGAGAGGGTCTGTCTTTGCTGGTGAGCGATTTCATGTAGAGTGAGGGATGACATCCCACCTTTACCCGTGTCAGGATACAGCAGTAGCTTCTGAGAAGACCCTGTTCAGATTGCTTACCTGTGGTTGGAAATTCAGCCACAGCTTTGTGTTGTGTTTTGCCCTTCTCTCGGTGTTGTGGAGTCTTTTGTGTACACCTAGTCAAGGCTTGATGTGGTGCAGTTGTGGTATAGGAAAGGGCACAGTGGATTTTAATCTGAAAGCCAGGATTGTGCCTTAGTTTTGTTGCTCATTATTTAACCACAGGAAAACAGCATCTCCCATGTTTCCTCATCTCCATTATAGGCATGAGACTGATCAATAACTACCTAGTTCACAAAATTGAGTGGAATCATGCATATGGAAGTGGTGTGGGAACCAGACAGCTCTAAATACATGCTGGTTTAAAAACTTGCCTGTTGGCTACTACAAGCTGCCTTGTTGCCTGAGAATGTGCTTTGTAATCAGAGAAGGGAAAGTCTGCATCTTACCTCTCACATCTGAGTGGATATTTCCCCCGTGTGCTTTGGAGGGAACCTCAGACACTTCTGGGGATAAAGCAAGCTGTGGCATGTTTTTTTTTTGGCCCATCTTTTGTCATTTGATAGCTTTGGACTCTGACTTCTCTGTCCTCCACAAAAACATTCTTCAGTTTATTAGTTACTATAATTGTGTGCTTGCCTTCAATTCCACAGACATTTATTGAGCTTTTAAAATGCGCCCAGGTCTATGTGAAGGTGAGCATGGGAATAAAAGGATGAGTTCCACACAATGCTGGTTTCAGGGAGCTTCCAGTCCAGGGAGGGAGTAGGGAAAGTTGCCTTGGAGCTGGTCCTGAAGGGTTGTACTTAATTCTGAGCACTTACTTTGTGCCAATATGTGCTCTAATCATTTTGTTCATATTATCTCACTTTGACTTCCCTGAAGGACAAGCATGATCTCCATTTCACAGATGAGGAAGCTGAGGTTCAAATACAGGGATTCTTACCAAGCTGAGGTTCAAATACAGGTGATTCATACCACTCAAGGATGCTGGGTGTCAAAGTCAGGTTCTCTGCAGAACTAGTGCTTTTCCCCCTAAACTGTACTGCCTCTTAACCCTTCTAGAACATTCACCATAGTCCACACTCCAGTCTCTTTATATCTACCCCCATGTGGCACCAACTTACAGGGATACCACATCCTTCCAGAGAAACACCAGCTAGATCATCCAAGTGTCTGGGCAGACCTTTCTTTTCTGCTTCAGGCCCTTTCCTAGGCTCCTCCTTCTGCCTGGAATGACCTCCCCTCCCCCATGTCCACAACCTACCCTGCACTGCAGGGCTGATTTTTTTGTATCCTTTAGGTCTTTGCTTAATTGTCTGTTTATTTATTTATTTTATAAATAAATAAATTAAAATTAATTAATTTTTTTTTTTT